CGCTCTAAATACAAATATTCTTATTTAAAAGCTGTATAAGTATTTAATTTTTTTTTATTGAAACAAATAAAAAGTTTTTATTAATTTTTTTATTATAGGTATGTTAATAAAAATGAACTTAACAACGATATAATTTTATTTTATTTGATTTAAATTAGATAATTGAACTAAAAATTATTATTTTACTGGAAGTGTGTTATTACTTCATCAAAATCTTTATCTTGGAATTGAAAATTACTTCATAAATGTTCATCAAATAATTCTAAATCAATTATTTTATTTAAGTTAATAGCAGTATCAATATTTCGTTTTTTATTATTTTTTTTTCGGAATTCTCCAAAGATCTAATTTAAGCATCTCCTTATTTCTTATTGCAATAAATAATATATCTTCACTTGTGACTTTGTGACTTACCAGTAAAAGCTAGACTCTTTGCAGATGACTTTATCATTTTTGTTAAGGGAATAAATGATAAAGCTCTTCAAACCCATCTACAGAAAGTGCTATGGAATCTCGAATTATGGACAAATTCCACAGGTCTTCAATTATCAACAAAAAAATCAACGGCTATGTTATTAAAAAAAGGAGTTATACCACTCCAGAATTAAAACTATTTAATAGAGAAATAAAATATGTTAAGAAAATTAAATGTCTAGGCATGACATTTGACAACCGATTATCCTGAAACCAGCACATTTATGATCTAAAAAGTACGTATTAATCTGCACTTAACATTATAAGAACTGTTGCACACAACACATGGGGAGCATATAGTAAAACACTGACTCTTATGTACAAGTCATTAATCAGGTCCAAACTCGATTAAGCTTGTAATATTTATGATTCAGCAAACCCATATATCATAAGACAACTCGATCGAATACAAAATTGTGCTTTGCGAACCATACTAGGTGCCTTTTATACTAGCCCTACTAAAAGTTTACATTAAGAAGCTAGAGAAGTTTCCCTGGAATTCCGAAGACAACAACTTTCACTGACATATGCGGCATCAATATAGTCAAATCCTATGAATCCTGTTAACCACTATGTAAATTCAGACGGTTTTAGGAATATTTTTAAAGCAAATGCTAGGCTTGACCTTCCTTTTTAAGAAAGGGTAAATAGATACCTCAATGAACTTAAATTCAAAGTTCCAGATACCCATTGTATACCAGATATAAACACTGTTCCCCCTTGGACTGTTCCTATCCCATCCATACTAAACTCTCCATATATAAAAAAGCAGATAACCTTCCCAAAGCATTATATCAATATGTCCTCCAATAACTTAAGACATACAGTAACCATAATCTTATATATACCTATGCCTCTAAAACTATAGATGGAGTGGGAGCAGCATTTAATTCTAATAAAACAAAAATAATAATGAAACTCCCTACATTAACATTCATTTACACAGCCGACTTAACCTCTATTCTCAATGCAATAAATTTTGTGGTAGAAAATAGTATCAAAAAACCTGTCATTATTACGGATTTCCTAAGTTCTGTAATTCCCCTAAATAACTTATATCCTAACCAACCAAGTCTTTTACTTATTAAATCAGCATTAGACCAACTGCAAACTATGAACATAAATGTTAACTTTGTATGGATTGCTTCCCATATAGGAATTGCTGGTAATGAAGAAGTAGATTCCTTGGCAAAACTAGCAATCTCGAGTCCGGAAGCTGTAGAAATCAAAAGCATTCCACATCTAGATATAAAACCTATAAATAGGAACTCAATAATCAATGCTTAGCAGACCAGAAGTGGAATCAATCAACATCCAAACTAGGAGAAGTAAAACATTCTATATTACGTTGGAAATCAACCCAAATAAGCGTATACCTCTAACCATCCTATCTCGTCTGAGAATAGGCCACACTGCCATCACCCATAAACATGTGTCCTTTATATTACATGGAGAGACTTCAATATAAATTACAAGATACCTTACAGGCAAATTGTACAACGACAATGATCCTATGAGGTTGAGGCATAAATAAATTTAAAAAAAATATTTTGTTTTTTGAGATTAATAATATTGCTCCGCAAATTATCCAAAAATTGAAAGAAATAAAGATACTTTCTAGAAAAAATTTTTACGTATACCGATTTTAAACTTTAAATTCAAATTTCTTCAACTTACCTCTTTTGGTATTTTTCAAGCGCAATATAGATCGTTTTTATTATTATATTATATTTTATGCATCTCGAAAAACATACAAAAATTTTTAACGACAAAGAGCTCCGAAAGTAAAAGGTAATGGTTCAAAAATTATCATCCTATTGTTTAAAACTTCGCCCCAAATGCCGGTCAACTTTGACCGGTTGTATCTGAGAAACCACTGCTCGTAACTCAACTTTTTTCTTTTAAAACAAGTGTTCTTACCAAGTCTTTTTCGATTTACCGTTTTATATACCGTTTTATAAATTTAATTTAAACTAATTAAAACCAAGATATTTCATTTGTTTATAAACAAAAAAAATGTTTAAAAGTTTTTAAATATTCTTGGGGCGGCCCAAATATTTCGATTTTAATTCTATAAATTACGTTAGATAGAAGGAGTGCTCCAACAAAATTGACATTTATATGGTCGTTTTTATCACGAAATATTTTAAAGGAATTTCAATTTAGAAAAAATTAGGTTGCAAAAGTAATATGTGAAATATGTTAAATCGATTTTAATGAAATTTGGTAGGCTGCTTTTGTATATTATAGAGATTTTTCAGGCGAATTATGAAAATCCTAAGTACATTCTAACTTTAAATTACTTTGAAAAACATTGAATAACAAACTACTTGTTTCCTCCTTTTTTTGTATTCATTGCTATTTTGCAACAAGTGAAATAAATGGATCATCGAGCAAAAATACAGAAGAGGGAATGTAAAGGTAGTGGGGGCAAAAATATTGTTAGACGGGAAGTGCAAGTTTAAGTGGCCATATTAAACAAGGAAAAAGAGTCTCTTTCCCTGTTTGAGAAATCAAATTAGTTGGGTTATGTTTATTGTTTGTCCAAACTGCCACATGAAATCTTATTTATATTGAAGTTTTTAACAATTGTGTTACATTTTAGACTATTATCGTTAATATTTAAATAAAACTTTTTCGTCTAAGATACATTCTGAAAAATATTTTATAGCTACTCTTAATAAGTGTCGTAAAATTTAAATTTGGCGTCTTTGCTTTTGCGGATATTTCCGCCATATTAAGACGCCACTTTTATGAATTTTGGTCTCTTTTTAGTAACCATTAGATTCCCTCTTTTGTCTTTTTGCTCGATGAAATGGATACATTTTTAACCAATCGTATATTATAGAAAATGTAATAATAGCTTTTTTGTTTTAGTACGACTTTGCTCCAAAATGAATATAGTTTTAAAGTTATAAATAATGAAAATAAAAAAGCAATGTTTTTAGTAATTTTTAAGAAAATATTTTTTTTTTATTAATATCCCCAACCTATTGGAGAGGCAGGCTACGTTAATTATTATTAAGGAAGTTATCACACAACTTTTTCTACAAAATTACAATGCCGCCTCTCACATCCAAATATAATTGGATTTTAACAGATCCGCCCTGGGCCCCATTATGCTATCCATATTATGAGGCTAGTTCAATTAAAACCCATTTTTTGCCCAGAAAAAAATTATTGACAAATATGTCTACAAACAAAAACCACTATAATTAAGCCACGTATTTCATTATTTCACCAAACGATGTACACCCTGCTTAAAGAATTCTTGTGGCTGTGGCTGGAAAAATTCTTTTATGGCATTTTGTACTTTTTTGTCCCACTGAAAACGATTGTCTTTTGGGGTTGTTTTTAGTGGCCAAAGATGTGAAAATCGCAAGGCGGTAAATCGGGACTATAGAGTGGATGCTCTAATCTCCTCTATTTCTTTCGTTATAAATTTTCTTTCAGAACTTTGACAACATGAGGTCAAATATTGTCGAGTAAAATAATGACATCAAGTGAAAGCTTCCCTAGATATTTTTGTCATATTGCTTGTTCAAACTTTGATTATGTTTAACATACACTCTAGGTTATAGACTAACCACATAAGCAGAATATAAGGAGACCCGTGTCGTCAAAATAGCAAGATATAAGTCACCAATCGGCAGAAGAAGTATCGGACAACCGCGCAAAAGATGGAGTGACAACCTGCCATAGAGGTATTAATCCGCCAATGAACAAGTAGAATTTGAGTATTTACAATATATAAATGCAATCTTATTAAATGGTTCAAAATAATGCCACCAAAATTCGTATCCAGCATTTATTGACATTGAAAGAAAGTCAATACAGTCACATGTATGATAAGATCATTAAGAACTATGCTAACAATATACCACCTGAGAAAATATTGAAATCACAACTATGGAGAGAAACAAAAGGCGAAAATAACAATTACCAATAAAAGAAAGACATAGATTGGGAATACACTAGGTAAAGATTAAACTAACATAGCCACGCTGACACTAGAGCACCAAACTGACTGCAAAATAAGAAGGGAAGAAGGGATTACAATGTCAATCAATTACCTTTTATTGTCGGCCAAGAAACGCAGAAATACCCCCAATCATTCATTAGGGGGGTGGCACGGGAGAGAGACAGGAGATTAGATCCAGTTCCAGATTTTTGTTAAAAAGGCCAACCTTACGATAATAATGAACATGAATAGTGACAGTTAGGCAATATATTATATTGATTTAATACTGAAGGAACTAAATACTATAAGTTTATAGTATAAAGGGGATAAAATTTTAGCAAAAATGTTGACTGCAATGCTGATCTCAATATTTGAAAGTATTACATAAAGTTAACACATAAAGATAAAATTTATGATATTGAGAGCATTTAGTAAACTTAATATTTTAAACAGAATATTTATAATTTATTTTCTTTCGTTTAAATTTATTGATATGAAATCTATTTTAGTAGTTAATAAATATTTTTATATTTATAATATATTTTATAATTATAATTTTACTTACAGTCTTTGTGTTGAAAATAACTTCGAAGACAGAGGCAAAAATACTAAACTTTGTGTTGGTTTTACACTAGTCATATTATTTCTGCCAACGGTCCGTTTATTATTTTACTTAATTATTAGAAAAGTTAATGAGCACTTATCGCTAAAGTGACTATTACTGTTACAACTAATTATTAAGCTGCACATTAACGTTTTGCTTTCCGGGGACTAGGTGGCTTTCTTTTTAATTACAGAAGATTCCTTCTAATAAAACGCGTATGTATCAGGGAAAATAAATCATTGTATATAACTAAATGAAAAATATTTAAAATATAATGTATATCAAACGTCAATTATAATGACGTTTTGTCGTGATGAGTTTGGGACTTATTTTAGTGGCATTGCTTGAGTAAATGATGGCTGGAAAACAGGGGCGGGCGCAGATACGCCACTGAGTGAACGCCTAGCTTATTATTGTTTTGCCAGTCGGAGAGGTGCGGTAAATCGGGGCAAAAAAAGTCATTTCATGAACCTTATTATAAATGACGTTTGTCATTTGACCGTTTTATAAGTTGTTTATTGTTGTCACATAAAATCTATAATGATAGTGTTAGCAAGTTTTTTACCATATGATCTAATTTTTAAAATATTTTATAAATAGATGCTGTCTGTTTATTAAAAATGATGATAAGACAGTAAAAGAAAGCCTAGAAACATTCACATCATAGAAACCAGTCTATGCCATTGAAGTAAGAGTATATTACTTTATGAGGCGGAGAAGCATGACTCTTCTTGACGCTCCGATATTACGCGCGCCGAACGAAGTGAGACGCGTAATAGAGGGCAAGTCAAGAAAAGTCGCTTCTTTGCCGAGTAAAGTATACAATTTTTTCTTCAAACGTAGCAATTTTCAACCATAAATAGTACAATTCATACGCTATTTTTACTCGAAATTAACTGTGACAACTATCAAAGTCGTCTAGATGTTATAAATTAAAATAATTAAGTCGTCGGTGGGATTTGCGTCTCCCTGGTTACAGTTGTTTGACAAATGTTTGCAATTATTAAAGACAGCTTATTGTTGTTGCAACCGCAAGCCCAAATTTAGTGCGAAAATGGAAAACCTAAAACGAAATTGAGTCCGCGGCTAATGATGCAGTAGCACGTTTGAGGCCCTCCAAGTCCAGAATAAAGTATCGGTTAGCGTACAAGCACTTCCAAGAGTGGTGCGATACAAGAGGAGTATGGCAAGTTACCGAAGACGTTTTACTGGCGTATTTTAATATAATGGAAAATGAAAATAAATGGAAATCTTCGACAATGTGGTCACGATACTCTATGATAAAATCCGAGTTAGTTATTAGAAAGACTGTGGATATAAGCAAATTTTTAAAGTTCCGTGCCTTTCTGAAAAAAAAAACAAGCAAAGGATATTATGCAAAGAAGTCTAAAGTTTTCACTAAAGACGAGTTTGATAAATTTTTGTTTGAAGGGCCAGATAAGTTGTATTTAGGATTAAAGGCAAAAAAAAATTATTGCAAGCTCTAATAAATTATAAAAATATTTCAGATTGTTTTGTTGATTGGGGTTACCTGTGCCTGTCAATGCGACGAAATGGTAAAAATGAAGATTGTGGACATTGAGAATAAAGAAAATGTAATAATTATCAAAATCCCCGACAGTAAAACACGACAAATTAGATTTTTTACGTTAATTGGTCAAAACTACATTAAACTGTATAAAAAGTATGCATCACTGCGGCCTGAAAATTTCACAGAAGACCGATTTTTTATCAAGCACCAAAATGGAAAGTGTGACCGAAGCGTCATGGAATACATTCGATCAGCGCAGTAGCCCAAAAGTAGCTAGTTATTTAAATTTAAACGATGCAAGCGCATACACGGGTCACTCTTTACGACGAACTTCAGCAACACTTTTAATTCATGGAGGCGGAAATCTAGAATGCCTCAAACCACATGGGGGCTGGAAATCAAGCACGGTTGCCGAGGGATGTATAGAGGATTCAATAACAAATAAGAACGATAATGCTCAAAAAATTTTAAACCCTCATGATTCGCCAGCATCGGGAACGATTGCTGAAAGTTGTTCTCGACCATCAGTATCATCAACAATTACCAATGCGTATCAAGAATCGGGAACATTTTTGCACGGTTTCAATTTGAAAATGCCTGATTAACTAATTGTACTTTTAAATATACTATAAATAAAAATGATGTTTAATTGTTGTTAATGATATTTGTATTTTTGCTTTGTGACATGTTTCATATTGTTGCCATGACAACATTTTTCCCTCCGCCGTAAAGAAATGGGAAAAAAACTGCTGCCGGCGGAGACATCAAACTTTGACAGGATCAAGTTAGATGAGTAATGTCATAATTATTTGACGTTTGAAGAAAAAAACTTTTACGGATAAAATTGAGATACTAAATAGGAAAAGTAAGATAAAGTATCATAAAGATCGCATCTACATTGCCAAAAACATCTACATCTAAAATACCAAAAAAGGTGACGAAAAACAGAAAAAAATAGGCTATAAGAAGTCGTTTATGAATGGAAAAGAATAAATATGGCATGAAGAAAAACAACAACTAAAAGAAAATACCAATGAAAGCTGTCAAAAAACTTGTAAAAAAAAACAATTGGGGAGATATAATACCCAAACTGCAAAGCAAAGAAATAGGACTATAAAAAACGGAAAAAATAAATACAAAAGAAAGGCAACAATCCAAGAACATAATAAAAATTGGAACTCGAAATGTGAAAAGTACTTATGAGCAGGAAGTTTTAAGATTTTAAGAAACTTAAAACAAATTATGGAAAAATATACAATAGATATCCTTCCCCTGCAAGAAACGAAACAACTGGAAAATGAAATAATAAAGAGAGAAAAGAGCACATTGTTCAAGAGTTGGGGGACCAAGAGATATTTTGCAATAGGATTCATACTGTCGAAGAAAGTAAACAAAGCAGTTGTAGATTTTTAACCAATATTAGACAGAATATGTTACTTGAGAGTAAGAGGAAAGTATAGGAAGATAATTATCGTTTATGTACAAGCGCCCACTGAAGATAAAGATTTAGAAACCCAAACAGAGTTTTCTGCGAAAAGCTAAGCAACCTAATAGAAACTATTATACAGAAATATTATATAAAGATAATCATTGGTATCATTAATAAGAAAGTCGGAAAAGAGGAAATATATAGAATAATAACAATGTACGAAGTTTACAAAAGGATTCAAATGAAAATGGGAAAAAGTTAATAGAACTTGCTACAAAGAACAAAATGAAGATAGCTAGCAAAAGTTTTGAACACAAAGATATTCATAAGGTAACATGAACTTCTCCTGATGGAAAAATAAAAATCAGATATATCATATCCTAATTGAAAGCAACATGATACGGCAATAATCGATTGCAGCAGTTATAAATTAATAACATTAGACCATTATCCCATTAACAACATTGGATATGCGGACGACACTGTGATTTTAGCCAAAAATATTAAAGATCTTCAGAGACTGATGACCAAACTAGTGGAGTATGGAAAAGAGTATGGTCTTACAATGAATGTCAAGAAAACAAAATTTGTAAAAGAGAAAAGAAAAGAATACTATGTACAAGGAATTTAAAATTGGAAGTAAGAGTTGGTTGGTGAGGAGCTATGTTTTTTCGACTTTATTTTATGGAATGGAATCTTGGACATTGAATGCGACATCAACGAAAAAAAAAAATTAGAATATCTCGGACGTATTACACGTAAAGATAAATACAGCTTGCTCCAACTGATTATGCAGGGAAAGATTCAAGGAAAGAGAAGCATTTGGAGGCGTAGCATGTCATGGCTGCGCAACCTGAGAGAATGGTATGGATGTACATAAAATGAACCTTTCAGAGCAGCTGTCTCAAAAGTCCGAATAGCTATGATGATTGCCGACCTCCGCCGCGAAGATGGCACTTGAAAAAGAAGAAGAAGAAGATACCAACAGTGACCATACTAAACTAAAACCGAAAACTAAAACAAGAACTACCAATAATTTCAAAACCTATTAGAGATAGATTAAATTACCAGTTAGAGCGCGTTCAAGAGAAGTAGTTTGTAAACAGACTTCTTTTTCTTCTTTACCACTACCTTTACTCTATCTACTGCTGCTCTGAAGAGTTCTATAAAAATGCATTTAAACTAGTCCCTTACATTATTCAACCATGATACTCTCCTTCTTCCTATACTCCTTCCTCCTCTTATCTTTCCCTGTATTATCAGCCTTAGCTCTTCATATCGCTATCCCGCCATTACGTGTCCCAGATATTGTAAGTTTTTTTTATTTTTTTTGTGTTTATTATTTTGCATTCTTTGCCTATTTCTCGCAGTACTTCCGCGTTAGGATTCTTCTGTGTCCATGCTATTCTAAGCATCCTCCTGCACTACACTACATTTCAAAGGACTGTAACTTATTTATGTGTTTTGTTTCAATATCCAGATTTTCCCAAGAAAACAAAATCCGTATCCTAAAGTGATTTCCAAAGAAAACAAAATCCGTATCCTGCAGTGATTTCCGAATCACCAGCTTAATAAGTCATATTTTAAAATTATTTCTAAAAATCATACATCAAAGGATATATAGACTGTGCGAAGAAAAAATTAGCCGTACACCGTTTGGTTTTCGGAATGCAGTGTGTACGAGAGAGGCTCTCTTTAGTATACAAGTGCTATTTAAACGATGTAGAGACGTGGACTGCGACATTTATGCGTGCTTCATTGACTACCATAAAGCGTTCGATACAGTAAAGCACGATAAGCTGATGGAGATATTAACCAATATTGGAATAAACACCTGTGATTTAAGAATTGTCAGCAATCTGTACTGGAATCAAACATCATATATCCGCACAGAGGCAGGAGAATCCGACGATATCAAAATCAAACGAGGCGTCCGTCAGGGATGTATACTATCACCACTGTTGTTTAACATATACTCTAAGGAAATCTTTCAAGAAGCAGTGGGTGATGTTGAAGCCGGAATTCGAATCAACGGAGAATCTATCAATAACATTAGATACGCGGACGACACGGTAGTATTCGCTG